TCGTACTCAATTTATCTTGTTGCATATTCAATTTCGAGCCTCTCTAACCCTCCTTCTCTTGTATTAGCTATATTTAACATACGTGCGCTTATCCAAAACCCTAACCGCGGCATTCTCCCAACACTACTGTGCAACGAGCGACGAGACAGAACTACTCCTACAATCTTCCACATAACCATCCTGCTCCTTTCTCCCATCTGGATTGAAACTACGAATCACCATGGCTAGCAACCGCACACGTCGTGTTGGGAAAGAAATTGCCGACATCCATGCAGACACACATTCCCAGATCAAGGCTGAGCCTTTTGGAGACTTGGATGATGTAACACATCTTCGAGGATCATTTCCAGGACCTCCTGGTACTCCCTATGAAGGTGGCACCTACATCATTGATATCAAAATCCCTACCGACTACCCCTTCCGGCCACCTGCAATGAAGTTTGAGACTAAAGTTTGGCATCCCAATGTCAGCAGCCAAACAGTCAGTATTACTACGATTTCCATTGGATATATAATTACCTAGATGCTCATTTTCTTTATACAGGGTGCAATCTGTCTTGATACGCTATCTAGTGCCTGGTCACCAGTACTCACTATCAAATCTGCCTTGCTGTCGTTGCAATCTTTGCTCAGCACACCTGAGCCCAAGGACCCGCAAGATGCGGAGGTAGCCAACATGCTTCTCAAGACACCAAAGGAATTCGAGCGTGTTGCCCGTGAATGGGCAGTTCTCTATGCTGGCGCCCCCATGAGCAATACAGGGAATGGAGCCGCAGCTGACTTAGATGAGGTGCAGCAAGGTACCGGTGTTGATAACTTGGCAAAGTAAGTTGTTTCTTTATCACGTTTCGGATATGGCTGCTCACCTTTGATTATAGATATGATGGATACAACAAGGATCTGATTGACCGTTTTAGCAGCATGGGATTTGACGTCGAACAGGTCGTAGCTGCTTTCCGTTTTGTCGGCGCTCCCCGAAGAGGAGGACAGGACTATGAATTAGAAGAAGGCCATATGGCAGATATTACTGCTCGACTTCTTGGTGAGTGATGTATGGCCTAGTGTTGCGACGAAATAGGAATAGCACATAGATGGACACATTGCATTGGGTAGTTTGTGCGTCGATGTTCGTTGCTCCCTCAACCTATGAAATTTAACAGAATTTCCACTTTTTTTTTTTTTTTTCAAAAAAATATCATTGAAAGTATAAGGGCGCCCAAGTTCGCCCGCACGATGCGAGTGGTCCTTATCGATAAGAACCGTCCAGCTCCGTCCAACTTCAACCCTCCCCGTTTGCTCGTCCGTATACTTCTTTGATATTTAAAATCGAACCCAGCCGGTTCGAGTCTTGCGCTCAGCCGAGAACCGCACATAGTAGCCTACCAATATCCCAGCAAGTGATCACGATCGGCTTCCGTCATCAAGCCCAAAACAAAAAAACGCGGTCACCATGATCGAAGACGATATCTACCGTACCTCGTCTCAGTATCGACTATGGTCCTACACTGAGGCTTCTTTACAATCACTCCGGGCGACGACAAATGCTGTGGCCAGTGAGCGTGTGCGGGCTGCCTTGCGCAGGGCACGCGAGACTCAACCGTCGGCCGCGTCCTCTGCAGCTGGCACGCCGCAGCCGGGCAGCGACGTGGATGGCAAAAGCAACGAAGAAAAGCCGATTGAGTGTTTGACACCAGAGGAGGAGCTTGTTCTGGTGCGGTATTATTGTGAGAAGACGCTGGAGCTAGGGGAGACGTACAAGCCGCCGCTGCCAACAATGGTTCGGGTAAGTCTGATTACCATGCTATCAGTGCTCTCACGCTCCTCAAAGCTGACTCCTCCATCCGACGCGCATATAGGCCACTGCGATTCAATACCTACGCCGCTTCTACCTAACCAATTCACCTATGACATACCACCCGAAGTCAATCATGGCGTGCGCGCTCTTCCTTGCGACGAAGACCGACAACTACTATATGTCGCTTCGACAATTTGCAGAGGGTATTCCAGGTGACACAACGACAGAGGATGTTATCACACCGGAGTTTCTGCTCATGCAGGGACTTCGTTTCACCTTTGATGTACGGCATCCGTTCCGAGGACTCGAGGGCGGCATCATGGAACTTCAAGCTATCGCACACGGTCAAGGCCAAGCAGCCCCTCACCTACCACACGAGACTTCCGAAGACCTGCAACAGGGGTTAATGTCTATCGCGCCTCCTCCAGTCCCATCATCATCAATGTCCGATCGCATCGCACGAGCCCACGGCACGACTCGTGAGCTGCTCAAGACCGCAGCCCAAATGACCGATGTCTACTTCCTCTACACACCCTCCCAAATATGGCTTTCCGCCTTTCTTATAGCCGACCGACCCCTGGCTGAGTTCCTTCTGGACGTTAAACTCGGCGGCCCCGTCACACCCGCCACAGCTACCTCCGAAACAACCCAAAATGGTCTCCAAAACCCCCTATATGAAATCCGTTGCAAGCTTCACCGCGTCTTAACTGACTGCACTGCTTTCCTCCAATCCTACACGCCGCTCTCCTCTGATCCCGCCCAAATGAAGAGTCTCAAGCGTATCGCAAAGAAGCTTTACCATTGCCAGAACCCCGAGAAAGCAAATATGGCGGCTCAGAAGCGGGAATCAGCACAGCCATCCACTGGCGTACCAAGCGAATCTGGGATGGCCAACTCCGAGAGTGAGTCGGAACGCTTGGCGAAAAAGCGGAAGTTGGAGAAGGAACAAAAATCTCGCGAGAGCAATGACGTCTTTGGTCCCGAGCTGGTCACTCAGCGAACAAAACAGCAGTAGTAATCATTCCGTCTAAATGAATATCTGGCATCTATCGATGCACTCAAAGACTTGTCATGATACAGTCTTGATCATGCCAGTGCCGCTGAATATCCAGCTCGATGAAATAATCGGAAACATGCTCTCTCATAAAATTGTGGATGGCCCTGAATTAAGTGGATCGCAGCCATAGCAGAGAGCTTCATATTGAAGCATTAGCGAGCGCATATACCTCATGTTCTTAATGTATAACGTTAATTGAGGCTCGTATTTTAAAATTAACATTGCATGTCGACGTCCGGGTGGTACTGGAAGATTTCGCAAATTGTCATTTGTGGTCCAAAATCTATACTTCAGGACGACTGGCTTTGGAAATCCCTTGGTGCCAGAGCTGTGGATTATCATGGCAGGTTTCTCTCCGACCTCGGAAACTTGTACACTGTAAGGATACAGCTCCGATGGGGAGTCATGGAAATATCCCAGATCGGAGTCATGGGCCATTTTTCAAAACTTTCCGGCTGGTGAGCTGTGAGCTCGTCCAGTGCATTGCGGACTTGTTTCTTCTCACTCGCATCAACCAACACTGAGCAGTGCGTAGTGTCGAGCAGATACTGGTTAGCCGGCAAGGAGTTTCTGGTTAAAAGCAGCAAGGCCTTCAGAAGTTTTAGCAACGATGACAAGCCAAAATAAGGTGCGAGACTCACAATATGCCCTGTTTTCGTACATGCCAGCAGAAATGCAGCGTACCGCAGGTCGGTTGTCCCTACATAGGCGAGGACTTGTTGCTCCCTTTTGGCGTTGCCACTGAGCTTACTTTCAATCTACCAGGTAAACCGTTTAACAGCTTTGGCTAGATCCTTGAAAGTGATACTGCGCCACTCATCAACTCCATCCTGGGAAACTGGATGAATACAGAACAACTTGTCTGGTTCATGTTCAACTGTCATCCACAACTTGAGGCAAAACCTGACTGGGATTATGAGGTTCCATTTTGAAAGTTCATTTTGATGAATAAAAGAGACCAGACGAGGGGAGGGATGATAATTCAGTTCTCGGAATGGCGATAAGTACACATTTTGATACCAAACGGGCCCTTCAAATACACGTCTGTGGCAAAAGGCATAAGCTGGCCATTATATCTTGCATCTGGTATCTCCTGAAAAGGTCTGCAGAGCTTACAAGCACAGTGTTGCTGAGTTTAGTAAGGTACAGATCCTGAGAGAGACAGCTGCATACTCTTTCCACCATTACTTTACCCCAAAACCTTGTGTTCTTGTCGATCTCTCAGGGTCAGGATTTATATAAATGATGACGGGTGATAAGTTGAATTGATTGGCTTTCATTTGGGCGATGAGGTTACACAATAGGAGTATGATGTCTTTTCTCACCGGGTTCAATGCACTACGAACGCAGTGTAACCTAGCCCAGGACGCTCCGAATATGCCACCGGCTAAAATAAGCATTCTTCGACCCAGTTGACGAAACCAATCACCAGAACTATACTGGATCAAATCAGATCTATCCTACATTTTGGTGGGTGTGGTATAGACTTATGGCCTATGACTGTATCTTCGATTTTCGTCAATCTTTCATCTATTATAGGACACTCACGTGCAGCAAATCTATATGCTAAGTATTTATCAAGATTGCGAGATCACAAATAGCTCTACGCGCTGAAATTAGTAGATACTGAGATAGCTCAACGAGATCTTTTGCGGGCAGTTTACTAATTAATCCCTTTGTCCCTCATTTGGATTTCAGGCATGCAGCCGAGTTTGGCAGCAGTGTTTTGCAAGAAAGCCAGAACACAGCACAGCGTTATGCACGTGGCGGGGATAAGAGCTAGGTTATACTCGTTTGAAAAAAAAAGTTATGCTACGAATAATATTTTTGTTGCGCCTGCATACTTGTGCTTGAGGCAGAGACCTGGTAATTATTGATTATGACGGTCTACATTCGATCTTTACCCATCGAGTGTTTACAACCGCTTCAGTCTCATAAGAAGAAGTAACAAAAAGAAAGGGAAAATGGTCAAAAAGAGAGCCGAAAGAAAAAGATGAAGAAAATTATGATTTATTGTTAACTTTTTAGGCAAGAAAAATATTCCAAATTATTCTCCAGCTTATCACAACAGCAACATGATTTCTATCATCAGCCAACTGCCATTTGATCCAAGCTGCCCATAACCCTCGTTCAAATATTTTCAAAGGGTTATACCGCTACTTTCTCGAAAGGCAAGCTATTCAAGATTTCTTCCAACTCATTCGCAACAACAACATCATTTCTATCATCGACGGCAAGCATAACCGCTAGTTGATCTAAGCTGCCGCTAATAGTAGCGCAAATGTCCTTCAGAGGCTTATATCCGTATTTTGGGAGAACTCGACGACGATCAGGAATATCCGAGCCTCCAACCCATCCAAGATATCCAATTTGCCCGACGAGTGAAGCAAGATCTCTTATCTCCAACATAACCTGGAGCCGGTCGGGTTGCGGACTACTGAGAATAGTAACTTGCTGATCTAGCCTCTCTGCAAAGGTTCGGCAAAGTTTCTTGTATGTTTCGCTGAAGTTGGGTGGGAGGTCGTAGTTTCTAGGGTGATCCATTGTTCTGTTTGGGATTTGGGGTGACCTGGTAGGAAAAGGTGAGTGGTTCAATTTGTATGAGGGCTTACCTTGAGGTTGCCCTGGGGGTGAATTGTAACTTGTAGTGGTGAGTGCAAGATTGATGATGAGGGTCTCCAAACTTGTGGTGTTTGATGTACCGTATTTTGTTTTGATGGATATTCGGAAGATGGGAAATTTGCGCTTTATAATGCCTCGAAAACATAGCCACATTGGGGCTATTCTTGTTTCGGGAATCTCTTGGTTAATAATACAAAGGATGAAGCCACAAAGAACATTTAGTGTTGTCTTCTTTGGCCTTTCATGCATTTTAAAGTCGTATTTTATTAGTCGAAATGTGACAAAGAAAGGTATAATGGCGTCGTACCAGCCCTTATTACAACAATAAGCATGGATATACGGTAGAGCTGGACAAAGCTGCCCATGCGGTATGATCTGACAAAATCTGATAGAGGACGGCTGACATCGCAGAGGCGGGCCTGAAGATCGATGGGCAGACTGGCCTAGACTATCTGCGACAGTATACGCTAGATGAAGCCTCGACTATTGGGCATTGTCTCCAAAGCGAAACTGCCAAGCTACCCCCGAACGAAGCGATGTTCATAGAATCTAAATTAGAGTGAGGCCTTTTTTGTCCTAACAGATGTCGAGATGAACATTTTTACCAGGTCAAACGCTTATTTCTAGCTTAGGTAGATCAAATTTTCTGCTTAGAAGGAGCCCTTTAAACAGGTGGATTGAATGTTTCTAGCACCCATGCCTCTTTTGTCCGGAGAGTGAGGGACATATTTCATCATGAGGGATGATCATCTCTAAGTTCAAGGGGAGCTTCTATATTCGAGGGTAGTCACGATAGAGTATCACCTAGGGTACGGAGGTAAATATTTATATGTTCGAGGGGAGCTTAAAACTACTAGTACTAAGGGTACGGAGGTAAATACCTCAATGTTCGAGGGTAGTTTTGATCGAGTACTACCTAGCCTATAGGGATAAATATACCTACGTTCGAGGGCAGGGTGGAAATACTAGTATTAAACTCGTTCTAATGAATGTCCCCATGTTCGAGGGTAGTTTCGATAGATTATCGCCTAACCTATTTAGATAAACATCCTTCTGTTTGAAGATAGCTTAGAAGTACTAGTATCGAACTAGTTCTGATGAATACCTCTATGTTCGAGCCTTACTTAAAGACACTTTTACTTAAGTTACCGCGATAAACATCTCTGGATGCGAGGGTGCCAGTTCTAGCTTGGAGGGAGGCATGGGCCATTTTCACAAATGCCTACATGAACATTTTACTTGGTTAAATACACTACGCAGAGGTATTTTGAGCTCGAACGGAGGTGTAATTGGCCCGATTGATAACCAATTCTGATCAAGACGAAGACGTATTGAACATGAGAGAAGCCTTGTTAGACAGCGTAGCTTAACATTTTGTAGGATATACAGTTCTAAATTTGACTTAGAAGGAGGCCTATTGCACTTTTGTATGTGCCTACACTAACGATTTGTCTGATAAGAGCATAGAGGAGTGTTAATTTATGTAGATTAACATCTCGGAGGCTATATAGTTCTTATTTTGACGTGGAGATGTCTATATTTCGCTTGTATAGATTTGTACATTAACATTTTGGAGCATATACAGTTCTTGTATTAGCTCGGAGTCAGGCTATTTTACTTTTTTTAGAGGCATGGACAAACAATTTGTCTGTTAGAGATGTTTCATTCTAGCCTAGAAGGACATATTTCACTATGGGAGGTGAAACCTCTACGTTCAAGGGATACCCTCTCGTCATCACTTTCTAAGCTATTCGGATTAACGTCGCTACGTTCGGCGGTGGCTTGTCAACCTAGCTTTAGAGATCTGGAAGTATTTATGATAGGAACTGCTCACTTTCGTAGCTGAAATCAACTTTTCCAAGCTAACTACGCTGTCTATTTCATCCGTATCTTGAAAAAGTGCTAATGTGCACATACTATTGGCATCACTTATATTCACCTCGGAAGAGAGGACTAGATACTCTATCAAGGATGCAAGATAAGACAGGGGAAAACTCGGACAGACGGATCACGCCTGTCCCAATCGAGGGAGGGGTAATTCGAGCATGACAACCAACGCACAAGTCCCAAGCGACCAAAAGCACCTCATCTAGCGCATGGAAGCAAGGACAAACGATCTAACAAACAAAAGGAAAATAAAATGAAACCCATCCCAAAACCAAGGAACTTTTTGTGTTGGAACGTCCCCCAGTGGGAGCCAAACTTTTAGCGCCGCAAATGGGGCATTGTATTCCTTCAGTTCTCGTCTAGCATTTCGTCGTCATCAATGAAAAAGGAAAACATGAAAATAAAGGAGCAAGGAGAAGCGAAAACAAGAGAAGCGCTCTAGACAGCACCGGCCGACAACATCTTGTTACGGAGGTGGTTCTTGTACTCTCCAATGGAGCCGTCCCAGCGGCGGACGGTCTTATGCTCGCAGACCATAATGTCCTTGGCGATCTTGTCGAGGAGACGGAAATCGTGGGACACGACGACGACACCACCGCTGTAGGCATTGATAGCATCGGCGAGAGAGTCGATGGTGGGGATGTCGAGACCGTTGGTAGGCTCGTCCAGCAGGATCATGTTGGGGGACTCAATGGCGAGCAAGGCGAAGACGATACGAGATTTCTGTCCCTCGGAGAGGGTACCCATGAGGGCAGTCTGGCCCTCACCGCTCAGACCGTAGCGGCCGAGCTGCTGGCGCCAGTACTGGTAGTCCTGGGACTTCTCGGGGAACTTGTCACGGACGAACTCCAGAGAGGACTTAGTGAGGTCAAGCTGCTCGGCGGAGTGCTGGGAGTACATGCCGAGCTTCAAGTGGGTGTGACGGCTGACACGGCCACCGATGGGGCTGAGCTTGCCGGTCATCAGACGGAGCAGGGTGGACTTGCCGACACCGTTGGGGCCGACGAGGGCGGTACGGGAATCCATGTCCACACCGAAGTCGAGGTGCTCGTAGAGGGTGTCCTCCCAGTTACCGGAGTAAGAGAAGCTGACATCGTCGAAGGACAGAACTGGGGGAGGGAGCTTGTCGACATCGGCGAAGCGGAAGGTGAAGACACGGTCGGCAAGGACGGGCTGGATGAAACCATCGGCCTCCATCTTGTCGAGAATCTTCTGGCGGGACTTGGCCTGACGCACCAAGTTGGCATAGGTACCAGCGGAAGCAATGAACTTCTTGATGTGCTGGATTTCTTCCTGCTGCTTGGCGTAGGCCTTCATCTGGTTGGTCTCCTGCTCACTACGGGTCTTGTGGTAAGAGTCGTAGTTACCACCGTAGTAGAGGAGCTTCTGACCACGCATGTCCAGCATGTTGGTGCAGACACCGTTGAGGAAATCCATGGAGTGGGAAACAAGGATCAGGGTACGGTCCCACTTCTTGAGGTACTCCTCAAGCCACACACAGGCCTCCAAGTCCAAATGGGCAGTGGGGTCATCGAGCAAGAGCAAAGAGGGCTTGACGAACAGGGCCTTGGCAAGGGCCACACGCATACGCCAACCACCGGACATATCCTTGGTCTTCTTGTGGATGGTGTGCTTGTTGAAACCGAGACCAGTCAGAATGAGGGAGGCACGGACGTGGAAAGTGGAAGGATCCATCTTGTCAATGTTCTATAGCAATGGGTCAGCCTGAATTCAGTCAAAAAGAAAAAGTAAAAAAAAGACGGTGAGAACTTACGTCATAGAGGTCCTCGAGGATGGGGCTGTCAGGACCCTCGGCCTCGAGAACATCTTCGGCCTTCTTCTCCATGGCCTCGAGTTGACGCTCAGCCTCACGGACAACCCACTCAAGGGCACCGAGGTCACTGGGAGGAGCACCCTCGTTCAGAAGGTAGATATCGATGTGCTCAGGGACGGGGAACTCGCGAGCAGCGATGGACTTGAGCATGGTGGACTTTCCACAACCGTTCTCACCTAGGAGACCGTAACGACGACCGTAGGTGAGTTCGAGGGTGGAGTCGGTGACGAGGACCTTTCCGTGGAACACAAGGGAGGTGGAGGTAATCTTGACATCGCGAGAGGCGGGCAGAGACGACAGCACACCGGTGGTGACCCGATCAGACAGACCGTGCTTGTCCATCTGGGCTGTGAGCTTGTCGACGGCCTTCTGGTCGGTGGTGGCAGGAGCGTCAGAGACAATGGGCTTGCCGTTGGCATCGAGCTGAGGCTCGTCCTTGCCGCCCTTCTTGGGCTTCTTCTCATCGGCACGCTTGGCCATACGGGCAGCCTTCGAGGCGGAAACCATGTTGGCGGTGTGACGAGGGTATAAGGTGGAAAAAGGAAAGGGAAGGGAAAGACGGGTGGGAGGAAGGAGAAAGGATGACACCAGTGAAAAGAGATTGAAGAGAAATGCAAAAAGGCTGAGTGGATCGCCTGGCGGGGCGGAGACAAATGGAGGGGCGCAAAGCAGTGGAGTGCCTGGTTTGCCCTTATCGATATAATTCTGCGCCGACGTCAATGGAAGAAATTCAGCACAGCAGGGGTAGTCCTCACGTCAGGATATGTGAATGCGTTGAAGAAACTCAGTCCTGTCAGTCGAAGAGTTGAGAAATAAAAATTCCTCAGTGGGCCGAGTACATAAGTCGACGCTGATTGGGAGAGACGTCACCGCAGTATGGCCTGAGGTGTCAATTTGCCACTTTCCCGATAACATCTACGGAGGACTCTGTTGCGCACTATTTTTATATGTAGATAGTGATATATTCTTGGCTTAAAGTCTCTCACTGATCTTCTCCAACACTTCTGTCTCTTCAGCAGAAAGCGTCACTCCATCTGGCACCGAAATATCCCCCCGCTCTACCACCAGCCTTCGAGGAACATCCGTCAGACTATCCTCGTAGTTACGTAGGAAACTCGGTGATTTCTCATGTCGAATCTCCTCCAGGTCCTGTCGAGGCACAGCCAATGGATGGGAAGTCCACCAGTAAAGCGGATACCGACGCTGCACATTGTTGATCACCACAGCCGCGGCCACCATGAGCGTGATGCCCAACAGCATCACCGGGATCAAAAACCAGCCCAACCCAACCGTCTGAGGATTTGTTACTGCCAAAAGGGCTGTCGCACCCGCCGGCGGGTGTACAGTATTGGTGAGGACCATGACCGCTGTGGTAATCCCACATGCAAGCGCACCCCCTAGTTCGGTATACGCCCCGGCATGGGGATTCAAGGCGAACAACTTCGAGATCCCGACACCAATAATACATGCAAGAATCTGACTTACGATCGCGTTGCGGGGCTGCGCGAAGGGCGAGTCGATGGCGCAGAATTCAAGGACTGCAGCGGCACCCTATTCAAAGATTGATAGTCAGCCCAGGTGTCATCCATCTCGATCCGGATCCAGTCCATCCATCACTTACAAAACTGCCAATAATGGCCGGTGCACCACGGGCCTCAAACGAGGGCACTCGTTTCGAAACTGATGCCACCAACGCAACACCGCAAAATGCGCCGACCAGCGACCAGAAGGCGATCAGAATATTACCCACAAGCCTGGGAGATTCTTCCCGATGACCCAGCATACGAGCCACAGGCTTTGGGACAAGATGCCATCGCGGCGCTGGCACGAACGGGTTGATATACCGATCGATATCAAACTGCCAGGTCGACGGGTGAGACAAGGTCACTGATCCATGCGGGGAGGGCGTCATGGTAGGTATCCCAGCAGGCCTCAGAGCTCTCTAATGTCCTTTGTTCCTTTCGTAGCTTTTGCCGGTGCGAATCTTAGGATATCATCCGGAGGCATCAGCCCTAGGGGGATATTTGGAGGATAGACACCCCATCTGTGATCGATACCCCATGTGTGCCGCTTAACACGCAATATCAGAGCTTCTCCGCGGACTCGGGGATTATTCCCTTGACACTTCTGAGTGTTTTGCCGTCTTCCACTCATCGTTTTGCGTGTGGTAACAGAAATCCCTTTCAGGACTAGTGGCTTGGCATGACGAGTGGTCCTGCTCAGTACTGCGTCACTGCACGCAGTATGCAAGCCCTAATGTCATGTTCTTCGATATATCCATGCTATGAGTTGTTTACTGATAGTCGTGGTATTCTATACCAGATTCAACATGCCAAATCTGACTGAAATGATTTATAGAGTACGTCCTTTCGCGTCCACCTTATATATAAGGTATGGCTAAGTTAGATTGTAGTTTCATTCAATAACCAAAATGTTGCTGGGAATATTCATTCGCTGGGCCATTCACCGGCCATCGTCTCTATAGGTCGCTCTATCAGGCTCCAGAAATCTCTTATGAAGTTATCCCATGGGGATAGCCACACAGACCAGTCATTAACACATGAGCCATAAGAGAATCCTATCAGTCGATGGCAACCATTTTCGTCATCTCCAAGGCCAAAGTTTCTTTGGCTAAGTTCCGCTTTCCAGATGCTGTGCTCAATTTCCCCGAACTTTTGTAAATCAATGCCAGCAGATTTTAGATCTGTTAACCATTTTCGAAGTGCTTCAGTTGGAGACGAGACCTGACATTTAGACACATCAAGCCAGTCGAGATATCCCTCTAAAAATGCAAGCAACAGAGTCTGTTGGTCAACAACGTGGTTCAAAACCACACCAGCTTGAAGAAACTCCATAAAGAGTTTATTCCACGATTTGTAAAGATAGTAATAGCCTTCCCTCATGTTGATGCCAAGAGATTGTCCGGAGGTCTGGCTTTGATGGCGAACTCGTCTTTTCCATGGATGAGACCCTTGCAGAGCAGCCTGACTTGCTCCAATCTTTCTCACGACACAATGTACAAGTGTCGCGTTCTTTGAATCGAAACGCCAGGGTCCTTCGAATTGGAGATCTTCGGCTGTCAAAGGATTTGGCCCAAGCATCGTTTGGATCAATTCAGGCATATGATAGGCATCCCACACACCATATGCGGCCGTGGCAGCCACTGCAATTCTTGTCTCTTGGGGCATTTCGTAATATGAGGGACAGCAATGTTGTTGTAAAAACTTGAACTCCTCGCTTGAACCACGAAATCGGGATAAGACTCCCCTAATCGTTTCTTCTGGCGTGTCATCATAGGATGTCTCTTTCGTGTAGCGAAGTAGAAGACGTAAACATGGAAACAATGGTTGACCCTTGCCGAGTCCTAGGGCCCCACAGAATACCAACATATCGAGAGGCGTTTCAAGATTGGGATGGTTGCCTGCGATAGAGGAGTCAACCCCCTGATCGAGGAGAAACTTCAACATCTGCTCCTTCCTAGGCCCGAGCATGGCGTACTTGAAAATCTATTTAGCAACTCTTGGCTATCATCGGTAGATGTAGACTGTGGACTTCAACATACGTGTAGGAGTGTGTATCCGAAGCGATCGGTTCGGTCGAACGGAGAGGCCTGTTTCATGGCAAATAGGTTTTGCAAATCTTCAATTTTGCCAGCTATCGTCAATGAGACTACCTTTGATGTTGATGGGATCACATTGTACGTCCGAAAAACCCATTGCCAGCCGTGATGAAGTCGCTCGCTGTATACTTCTAGGGCCTTTGAACTCAGCCAGGACGGTAAACTGAGACGCCACAAATACTTAGATGTGTGAGTGTGGTGTGACATCCCGCCCTGTGACACCCTTTCTGTCGGGTCATTCAGTAATTCGGTTCGTTCATCCTTTAAATGGCCCTCTGTTGCTCGAAGCGTCAGCGAAGTCTGGTTAATCATGTTTACCCTGTACACCTAGGCAGGAACACACCGTGCTGGTAGGTTCGGCTTGAATGTTGCTGTGTTTTTCTTGTCTTGCACTAGTCTCTCGGCAATCAAATCAGGTTGGACCCGTAGAAGCGCTCTACTTGTATTATTAGGTAGGAGAATTGCAGTATATCAGATATTACAAACCTAGTATAGCACTGCTGAGACAGCGATAGCAACTGAATCGCGTTTCGCAGTCGGGCCATATGCCTTTCTAGTTTCCCTCTGTGCATCACCATTTTTGCGGCAACATAAGATTTTCGCAGGCGATGAGAGGAATTCATGTCACGCAAAAGCTCATTAGATAGCTCTTGCAAGTTCGTGGCGGCTTCTCTGCCAAATTCCAGACTTTGCACAGCGTGTCTATTGCCCTTTAGGGCGAATGCGAAAGCGTCTTGCGATAGATCTTCCTGGATTTCGGCTAGAATGAGTCCAAACAAATCAAGATCCCGCATGAGGTATTTGAGGTCAGTGGGTGCATCACGAAACTGGCACCAGCAATCTTTGATCGTGATTATAGACTCAGTGACTTGGGCGACAACAGTTGCGAACGTGATGGCGCCCGAAACCACACCAATAACTTCCGCCATCGCAATAACGAAGCGGATTGACTAGAATCAGAAATCTGCGTCTAGTAAATTCGGAAGCTGTTCGGAGTTTCGTGCCAAGGACGAATGTGTTGCTGAGTTCAACCCCTCCTTATGCAGGGCTAGCCCCACCCGCAGGAAGATGCCAATCAATCACTCTATATATCTCGAGCCGCTCATTCCAATACTGTAGGCGTATGGCAAACTCCAATTTCTAAGGATATTAACAGCTCTGGAGTCTACCCGGGACGTGGATACTAGTACTAATAAATTCAAAGCCTAATAATACTAGCGTAATATCCGCATAACTTTTTTATGTCCGCATATTCATTCATATATACATACACATTGTTGATCCTTGTGGTAACTTAAGCTTCTAAGTTTGCTCCAATCGCCCGGAAAAAGAAAGATCTCCAATGTCTCCAAGACCTCCAAGTTGCTGCCTAAGTCTACCTAATCGCCCTACAAGGCTACAGCCCCCAACTCTCAGAGGATAAGTTAAGTTGGAAAATATGCCCAGGTGTAGCTTGTTGTCTCGGGGTCACATGGTGCAAGCGGCCTGAGCATTTCCCTCCCCCAAGTTCGAATGAATTTTACATTGTGCCATGCCCCTGAAGAAAATCATTTACTTCGGATGACAAGCTATTCCACGATGGAGGTCGACGCATTACCGGACTTCCAAATGCTACCATACCCTGCCATCAACCCTCAAGACCAACTCAACAACCAAATCACCCTCAAAACAACATCCTCGTGGACCTACTGTGGACCCCTCCTATCTCTAGACGCACATACTCTCCCAGGCTCTTTCAATACCTGGGCTGAAGCAACAATCAACGGCTCAATCTTACCATCCTTCTTCTCATTCCTAACATACGTCCATGAATTCCTAACAAAAAACAACCAAACTCACTACTGGCTCACAATCCGAGCAAGTAAAGCAACGCACGAATTCGACGTTCCGCGCTGGCATACGGATGATCTATTCTTTGCTCCACCATCACCACTACCACCATCACCATCACCAACCACTACTACCACACCCTCAAAGCGAACACGCTTCTTCCAGCTGTCTAATATTTTCAAACCACAAATAAACCCCCAGAACCAAACTACAACATCAACATCAATACCAACACCCAAAGCAGCAATCGAAACCCCAGCTCCCCCAAACTGGAAACTAACAACAACCCTCCTAGGCCCAGGAACCCTCTTCATACCAATCGTCTCAACACCGCATGCCCGCACAGCCCAAAAATCAGCAAAACAAACCGCCCGTGCCAAAAACCCAAACCACATCTGCCTCTCAATCCGCTGTATCGGATGCGCCATGGCAGCGGAATCAGTACGAGCCACACTAGCAACCCAGCTGGCTCGTGATGGTGCGATTGTGCAAGCGGCGCGGGGGCAGTGTGTGTTTTTCCGGGTTGGGGAGGAAGAGGGCGCTGTCCATTCTGAGCCTATGTCTCATTCAGATCGGGTTTTTGTTAATGTTGTTCCTGGATCGGAACGAGATCTTGCGACGCTTATGGGGAAGTGGGGAATGGAGTTTCCTAGGGCTTGGTGTGTTGGGTTGTCTTTTGATGATTTGTATTTGAGGGAAGGGTGTTTGAGGGATGTTTGAGGGGATTTGGTTTGGTATTTTTTTAGCGGTGGCTGTATGTATTGGGGATTTTGCGTGGTTGTTCAGGTCGGGTTGCAAGTATATATTTTTGATACCTGGTGACCTTTATGGCCTGTGACTGTTGTGTATAGTCGGCCACATTGTCTGACATTTTAATTCCCTAGGCTAGGACTCATACATACTGACTAGGTGGGATCTCTCAATCACAAAACAGATAAATATCCAGAAAATCAATTTATTTACTCTTTATCAGATCATAATCGTCGTTGCATTTTACAAACCCGGAGCTTAAACATCGAGGGTACGGCCAGTACGGGAGCTCTCACGGGCCAACTCAATCAAGCGAATGACCTCGCGAGCCTCAGCACCACTAGCAGGCAGGGCACCATCACCACCAAGAGCACGAACAAGCTTGCGGTAGTACTCAGTGTAGGTAGGGGGCTCGACAGTGGGAACGACCTCCTTGACGGGCTTGCCACCCTGAATGGTGGTCAGAGTACCGTAGCGCTCGCTGGGCTCACGACCGTAGCCATTGTCGGCGGGCATGATGCCAGCCTTGAGCTGGTCTTCTTGGATATCAAGATGGAACTAAAGAGCCAGTTAATATATGAACAACTGATACGCAATTGGGTAGTCTTACCTTCTTGAAGCTGCCGTTGTCACCGCGCACCCAGAAGCGCAGCTGCTCGTCCTCCGGGCTGACGACAGTCGCCTTGGCGGTGACCATAGTGCCATTGGCGTAGTGTAGAAGGACAGTAAAGGCGTCCTCGAAGCCGGAGGAGTTGACCTCACGGGCGGAGCCAATGAAACCGGTCACCCGCTGGGGCAGACCGAATAGGTAGTAGGCCTGGTCTAGCAGGTGGGCGCCGAGGTCGTAGATGGCAGAGCCACCGGGGATAACCTTGTTCTTCCACTTGTGGCTATCGGCGGCGGGCTCCTGGGGACGGTGGCGGTCGAAGTGGGATTCGAACTCAGAGATGCGGCCGAGGGAACCGTTCTTGATCAGCTTGGAGAGGGTAACGAAGTCGGCATCGAAGCGGCGGTCTATTGGTTGTATTGTTAGTCTAGGCTTTCTAGCAATTGGTTCGGGTTGGGCTGGTAGGACGTACTCTGGAACACGGCGAGCTGCTTGTTGTTCTTCTTTGCGATGGCGATGAGCTCATCGGCTTCCTGGGTGGTGGGGGTGAAGGGCTTCTCGCAGACGACTATGACGCGCATTGGGTTAGCTGGGTATATTCTTTCTGGGACTTCTAGACACGTACCGTGCTTGCCAGCCTCTAGCGCCAGCTTGGAGAGAGCAAAGTGGGAGTCGGGGGCGGTGGTAATGATCACGATGTCAATCGCAGGGTCCTGGACCATCTCCTCCGTGGTGCGGAAGGACTTCACACCGGGGTGGTCCTTCTCGGCATCATCGTCCGCCTTCGGGGTGCGCTGGACGATGGCATAGAGCTTCAGCTCCGGGACCTCGGCAACGAAGGGAATGTGGAAGATCTTTGCACTGAAGCCGTAGCCGACAATGCCAACGTTATAAGTCTTGCTGGCCATGATGAATGTGTGATTTAATTGAGGAAAGAGGGCTGAAGAGGTGAACTTATATATCCCCGGAAATAAGTACGCGGGGAACGAGGGAAGGTCCTGGCGACGGCAACGTTTGGGTCTGGTGGGGTCAAAGGTCGACTCGGGTTGCCGCCACTTCATATTTCTACACTCGGAACACTCCTACTATATTCATCTCGGAGATCAAAACTCGGGCTACGGAGTACTGTGTCCCTGCTTGATAATCCATTGTATTCTCAAGGTGTGTCTTCTCATCTGGATATCCCACATCTCGGCCGCAACCTCCACTTGTGCGTCATCCCATTCTGGCTAATCCTCCACTCCCACACATCTCGTGACCTCAATGGCGTCCTATGAATAGTTAGCAACGGAAAAAGAAGAAGAAGATTTTTCACTCACTCCCAAACCCTCAGGCTGGCACAACTCGCTCTGGTACACCATGTTCGGGTTCCCGACAAAGTCGAAAGTGGGAACATCGTCTTTACCCACAAAAGACTGCACCGCGCTCTCGGCCATACCGGTGGTGTCATAACCCTTGGAAGGTCCAACCTTTGCCTTCTCTCGCTTTTGTTTCACTGTACTGCGGACGAATTCCAGATATGGCGGGTTCCCGGGGTAAATGACATTGTCTGCGGCGAGCACTGAGCCGGGCACGATTGCTCCTAACTGCTCGCACAGTTTGACGTCCGTAGTGTATGCGGGCTTGTAGTGGTCGATGAAAAGGAGCTCCACTTTCTTGACGTCGCCCGAGGTAATCAGTTTGTGGAGGGATACGTCGCTGCGGCCGACGATGATGCGCACAAAGTCGCGCAATCCTGCCAGCTCGATGAGCATGTTGGCGATGGCTGCGAATTCCGGGTTCAATTCTAGACTTAGGTAGCGTTCGCCGCCGTTGCGACGGACTGCGTCGCCGAATAGGATTGCTGAGTAGCCTACGTAGCAGCCGAGTTCGATCATGGTCTTGGGCTTGACTTCCTCTATGAGCTTTGTGACGATTTTGCCCTTCTCAGGGCCGACGTTTATCAAGCGGTATTCCTTTTCGAACTCGTGGATCAGATCGATCACCTTTTGCGGATGGCCGCGGATCTCGTCCAGGTTTGGCTGGCCATAGATGAAGTGCAGGAGCTTCAACTCTCTGCCTGGTTCACGCTGCTCTAGGGTTAGTTGAAATGACGATGAGAGGGCAGACAACCTACGGAGAGCTCCCCGGAGTTGGGATGCGGCTGTTGGTTAGTTGCCATTTTGAGAGACTCGAAATTCTTTATGGGTATGAAATGAGATCAACCAGATACGCAGCTGAAAACGCGGTGAATGGTGAACGGTGCACGGTGAGGTCATACTTCAAGCGCCGAAAACTTATAGTCCGGTAGCTCGGGAATAAATACCTCAGAGAGCAAGTCCGAGCACACTTATCGCAGGCAGTCGCATTAAATGCATCAAATGGCGTCGTTCATGATATCCATATATGTTCATACGAAGGCATGATACTCATCATTTAGGAAGTCTTGTCCGAGATTGATAAAGATCGGAAACTTGATCCCAGAATGACAGCTCGGGGATAACAGCATTAAGAGATCCGATCCCATAAGCCTAGACCTCTCCCCCACTCTTGACAGTCATCTCGATCCCTGAGTTCCGAGGGATTGAGGTTGTTTGCATAAGCGTCTTGTCATACCAAACTAGATCTGCACCTCAGCCAAGCGCCCCCCTCACCAGCCTCCCTCACATTTCCAGCATTCCACAATGTCCTAACCTCAACCCAAACCTTTCGAGGTTCTTTGGCCCTCTCCCCAACCCTGTCAACCCAGGGCCAAATGAACCGGGACGTAATCCCACCGCCAGCGGTGAAACAAAGGCTCAAAATGTCCATCAAATCTACCGCAGCCTCCGTTTCATCAGGGACCGTACCCCGAGTCTTCTGGCACCTCTTCCGCATCTGTCTCTCATTTTCACTGTTATCCCTCGATAATACCATCCTCGCCGTCGCGAGTTGTCTAGCATATTTCCGATCGGTAGCCAGCTATCGCAGAACACGACGAAACGTTCGCTTCTACCCGAAGACAGTGCTAATCACAGGCGTGGGAGCCCCTCATGCTCTAGCACTTGCACGGGCATGGGCCGCAGAGGGCCATCGCGTGGTTGGAGCCGATGTTACCGACTTGGATCTCCCCGTCCGGTCTGGCGCAAGCATGTCCAAGGCCCTGCAGGCATTCTACCGCATTCCAAAAGACCATTACATTTCCAGACTACTTGACGTGATCCACCGCGAAAAAGTGGACGTGTGGATTCCGTGCTCGCCCAAGGCAACTTCCAGCGAAGACGCGACAGCGCGGCAGGTTGTCGAGAGCCGTACCAGCTGCAAATGTATTACCTTTGACACCGAGCTGGCCGCTTGCTTCAGCCACCCGGATGCCTTTCGACAGTATGTGATTGAAAGAGGTCTTCCCGGTTTAGAGTATCATAAGGTTCTATCGCGCGACTCTGTGCATAAGATCTTGCATCGGTCGCCGTCGAAATCTTACCAGATGTTGCGCGCTAGCCCGTCTGCAAATGATAAGGCTATGCGTCTACCGAAACGTACGACTAGCAAGACTTACTCCAGTATCAGTGAGATTCAGATTTCCAAGGACCGGCCCTGGATCTTGCAGCAACATTATAGGTTGGGAGAGCTTTTTGCCGATATCCTCGTTGTCCGTGGTCAAGTCCAAGCGATCAATGTCCGGTTGTCGGATGCGCATTCTTCAATATGGGGTACCTCGCGCTTGGATGAGGCATTGGCTGCTGCGATTCACCAGCTCATGCAGAACTTTGCGGCTAAAATCGGGACTCGCTTGACGGGGCATCTCTCTGTTCGGCTCATGGTGGATGAAGAGTTTGATGCTCATTCTGTTCGACATGCAGTGTACATTGCCGGTTGTATCCCCGGCGCGAAAGCGGTTGAGCGTCTTTTGCAGGATATTTCCTGTCCAATTGCAGGATATCTATCTGTGTTTCCTTCCGATCCGGTTGATGTTTCTTCGAAAACGACACCGACACTGTCATCCTCGCGTGCGACGTCGATAGCCAGATTTTCTACAGCGGGTCGTTTTCCAGCTTTGCTCTTGCAATTCTCCTTGTTGCGGTCTGGAATCCAGATACTTGAATTGTCCAAGGTAGAATTTGTGCGGTTATTGTTCTGGAAAGATCCACTATTTTCATTTCAAGATCCTCTTCCTTGGTGGTGGCAGGTTCATGTCTACCAGCCACTGCGGGAGATTTGGGTATTGGTGAAACAGACTCGAGAGGCCGGCTTGTAAAATTGATGATTGATACATATGAGTTTATGTGAGCGTGATGTGTGTGTATATGAGCAATGTGACTATGAACGAATATTATGGACAGCTGAACTGCAAGTTTCTTCTATTTCCAAGCGGATTTCGAACCGTGTGGATCCAATGGAGGCTTTGCATATAAATGCGCGATGATGTTATAGCAGGCATCACGATTATCCTTGCATATGTCCTCTGTAATAAGTGCTGAAAGATATGCCAAGCCTGAGTTCCGAAAATAGATCCACGGGCTGTCGCCTGGGCGATGATCGTCGGGGATGGAATACGTTGACGGTGGAAACAAGACCCAAATTCACTTGAACACTCGAACATTCGAACTCTCAAATCACCTTCTGAATTACTCCATATCCAAACATCTCCATCTGCATCCCTCCAACTCCCACACACGAGCGTTGGGCAATACGAAGCTACCAACCAAAACAAAACAGAACATTTCCCCCGAGCCTCAACACAGCCTCCGCCCACATTCCGCTGTCACTTTTTTTTACCTTACTGACTGCAATCTGACCATCCCCTGTCAATGCAATACAACGACATCTCCATCCCTTGAACAACTACTTGTACATGGTTGAAACACCCCGCCCTTGCACAACATGAAGTTCCAAATGCCGCGCCCTTCAGGCGGAAGCCTAGGACGCACGAAGAACATCCTGCATTTCACACAAGCGTTCATCATCTTCATCGCCTGGGCGATGACTATCGCTATCTGGACAAAAGGCGATGGTATTGACGGGCGCACGGGGTGGTACTGGGGTCTGGTGAGTTGCGAATACCCTGGAAACCGAGTCGCATCTTGCTGCAGCAGACTCAGGTTCGTGTTGAGAAAAGAAGTTGCATTGCTAACATACCCTTTTCGCATGATTTATAGTGTTGGCTCAGTATCCCCGGTCTGGTCTACCTAGTCGCCGTACCGATGTGGCCGCGCGCCCGCCGCTTCGGAAACGTTTACGCCTTTGCCTGTGTCGATATCCTCTATACGATTCTCTGGGCTAGTGCTTGGATTTGTCTTGCGTCGTATGTTGCGCAGGGCAAGTCGAAGGGGTCTTCGGATAGCAGTGACAAGGACTCGAAGTCGAGCTCGGATTCGAAGTCTACGACGAAGAGGGCGACGAATAGTGATAGCAGTTCTAAGACTGGATGTGATAACTGGGCTTATGGAAGTGCTGCTAAGTGCAAGCTTAGCGAGGCGACTACCATTATTGGTGTCTTTATCTTGTACGTGCAGCATCTTGGATCTGGGACCTGATATCTGCCTAGCTCGATGCGAGCAGGGCCGGTCAACCGCGAATCACGCTAACATCATGTCCCCACACAGTATCCTATTCGCCATCACCGCCTGGATGTCTTTCCGCAACGTGATGCACTTCCGCCGCACAGGCACACTCCCCGACGCAGTCTCAGACCCCACCTTCGCAGCCCAGACCAAGGCTGCCTTTTCCTCGAACCCGGCCCACGACTTCGAGGAAGACGAAGATGACTTCCGCTCAGGCCGTGGCGGTGGAATGGCCGCCTCTTCCCGCGGTGATCAGGACGAGGACTACGCCCTCCTCCAGCAGAGCGAGGTCGACGACCTAGGCAATGCACACGGCCGGTCCGCGATGCACGGCTCTTACGACCCCACTGCTCCCGCGCCTGGTGGTATCCTCCATGATTATAACGGTAGCACTGGTTACGGCGGGGCTCATGGACAGCACTATACTGCCCCTGGTGATCAGTTTGCGCCGACTGAGTATGGGGGATCCTCTGTTGGGTATGGGGGATCTTCCGTCAGCGGGTATGGCCGTTGAAAAGATGTTGGAATTGGAGAGTTGTAGGATGTGGTCTGGCTTTGATTCCAGTGAAATACCCGGAAGATCTGATAAGTCTGGCTTTGGGGTATTTTTTTGGTTATTTGCGTCTCGTCTTGGATATGACCCATGGAAGCGGTGTTTGGCGCTTAGGCCCTTGTTTCTTTTTACTCATGTTTCTCTGGTGCTGTTAGGCCTTGAGTTTACGATTGTATGTCCTGTTTTGGCTTGATTAAATTTGGAAAATATAGATGTATTGCATAGCAAACTTTTCTGTTGTAGTCGTAATTTGTAGACACCCGGGTGTATGGAAATCAGTCAACTGCAAAAAGAGGTACGAGATTCGCCGCCCGCTTCTATAGGCCAATTAGCATGCATATCAACACTCAAATATCCACGTGTGGGTTATCGAAGCGCGTAAATCCAAAGCAGGAGACCCTATTGTCGAGTCGCTGGCGAACTGCAAAGAACAATAGATCATCGCCGAGATCCATGTGGTACCGGATGCATTGACAATTTGAGCTAGCCATCTCTTTCCTGGTGATTACACCAAAGCCAGCAAGTGTTTCGATGTTTCCGGCAATGACTCGAGCAAGTACAGCAGGGTGAGGGCCACTCTCTGCACTTACGTCGCTTCCATGATTCATTACCTCAGTCCTTTGGATTACCGTACCAATTGCACCAATTCAATAAGACTTTACAGTATCTTAAACGATTCCGAGAGTGTCACCAGCCACACATGCGACGACGACACCCTGTACTCACCGCACTGATCACAGCAACCATTCCGAGCACCCCCGAGCCTACCGCCGCGTCAATACAAGAGAAAATTGGAGTGAAGAATTCGGTGTACCAGTGGTGACACAACGGCGGGAAAGGCGAGCAAGACAGGCAATTAAGGCACCGGGCGGCCCAACCAGCCGAATGCATGGCAGGCAAGCCGAGCAAGTAAAGAAAGCAAAGTGAGGGAGGCAAGTAAACAAGGCTGTTCTTCAACTGGGTGCCCATCTTCTACGATTACTCCGGGGCTTTTTCTTCAACTACGAAGCATTACAGGGCCCGTTAGCGGCTCCCAGATGGCGAGAAAACGACCGGTATTTGAGCTTCCTTGTTTACGGCAAGGCGTTGAACGAAAATAGCATCTCGAGGACTTCTCTCACTCTGGGCTGAGATTGCAATGTGAAGAGGACTTTTATAGTGCACAGAGCATAGGAAGTCCGAGATTCAGACAGGTTTAACTATTGAAATTGAAGTACGTTGTCATTTTCGCCTGGGATGTCAAACCGCAGGGACGTGAAGATAATGGCTGTGGAATAGAGATGTGTTTTTCGAATGGGAGCAGTAACCTCAGATACTGCGCATTTTCCTAGATTAGGTGACGAAGTGTGTGTAGTCTCTGGTTCGATCTATCACTATTAAGCATACGCTTCCAGTATTCGATCTTTTTGCAAAACGCAGTTCATCTCACGGCTATGCGTCCAGGCCTCCTAGAGTATAGGGTGACACCTTTTATCCTTCATGCTCTGGCTACATGTACATGTTTGCAGATACCGAAGTCGTGAATAGACTCTACGCAAATCCTTATTCAGAGATGATGCGATACCCTTAAAGCGACAAACAAGATAAACGGCACACTATTCCACATAGAATCAAGATGAATTATATTAGTAACATCAATATGAATGGTTATGAACAATATCATGAAGCTGCGCGGCCGCATCGCTTCGCCATTTTGGGAGCGGAGATATAACGCTAAGCCCGATTGGGGCAGCGGATCCGGCCTCCGCGAAGTATAAGATAACGTAGGGATATGAGGCAGCTCACTTAAATAGTCTGCCAGAGCCGAGGGGATATCTCAATATCATCTTCTACTTCTTACTTGGCTCGGGCTTTATCACCGAGATCAACTTACCTCCTTCGTCCTTTCAAAGTCCAAACAACCTTAACACAACATGGTACTCGACCGATTACAGCAACTGACCCATCAGGTCAGCGCCACGGCGCCTGCTCCTCACCCATTTGATCCTTTATCTACATCGGAGATTGATTCCGCTGTTGAAATAATCCGCAAGGAACATGGCTCCCTCAACTTCAATGCCGTCACGTTGTACGAGCCCCGCAAAGCTCAAATGATGGCGTGGGTTGCGGATCCCGAGAAGGCTCCTCGTCCTACCCGGACTGCCGATGTTGTCGCCATTGCACCTGGCGGAAATGTTTATGATGGCCTTGTTGATCTGGACCAGAAGAAGATCATTCAATGGCAGCATACGCCCAATGTCCAGCCTCTGATCACAATGGAGGATCTGCAGGAGGTTGAACACGTTGTACGCAAGGATCCCAAGGTGATTGAGCAGTGTGGAATCATTGGAATTCCAAAGGAGGATATGCACAAAGTGTACTGTGACCGTAAGTGTATCCTGCCAGTTCGGTAAAGATCCACGCCAACCATTTGATACAGCCTGGACTATTGGGTATGATGAACGCTTCGGAAGTGGTGTCCGACTGCAACAAGCTCTTATGTACTACCGTCCTCATCCAGATGACTCCCAGTATACCTACCCCTTGGACTTCTGTCCAATCTACAACGCGGAAACCAAACAGATCATCCACATCGATGTGCCACCGGTACGGAGGCCCCTCAGCAAGGCACCACCAAACAACTACCACCCAGCTTCTATCGAGAAGGAAGGCGGGTACCGAACTGACATCAAGCCAATCCACATCACTCAGCCCGACGGCGTGTCGTTCCAGGTCAAGGGACGGACAATTGAATGGCAGAATTGGAGCATCCACGTCGGTTTCAACTACAGAGAAGGCATTGTCCTGAATAACATCACATTTAACGACAAGGGCAATGTCCGACCCGTGTTCTGGCGTCTGTCCTTGGCAGAGATGGTCGTACCATACGGCAACCCCGATCATCCCCACCAGCGTAAACACGCCTTCGACCTGGGTGAATACGGTGGCGGATACATGACCAACAGCCTTTCCCTCGGATGCGACTGCAAGGGTGCAATCCATTACATGGACGCGGCATTTGCTAACCGCGCCGGTGCTAGCACAATCATCAAGAACGCCATCTGCATCCACGAAGAAGACGCCGGCATTCTATACAAGCATACCGATTTCCGGGACGAGTCTATGATTGTCACCCGTGGCCGCAAGTTGATCATCTCACAC